ATGGTGGGGTATGAAATTGGTGGACCCAGATATTTGATCCTGTGCAGTCAACTCTGCACCCTCTCACCCTTCTCTTCTTCACTGCCATCTACCTGCCCAACTCCCCTCATTATCAACCTCAGCATGCTCCTCATCACCCTGTCCACTGACCTTGTTGCCCTGCTTGTTGACAATTGTCTCTCCCCACTGCTGTACCTCATCCAGAGGGACAGCATGGGTGGCCAAGAGCCACCTGTCTAGGTGCTCAGGCCTGGTGACCACCACCAGTGCATAAGTCTTTTCAAGCTCATCATTGACTGCCATCCAACCTTGCCATCCAGCCCCCCTCTGGCCCTCTCTCCCCATGCTGTAGCTTGTCCAGAGGGCAGCATGGGCACCTTTAGTTCCACATCTAGGTGCGTGAAGCTAGTTTGTTGTGATGAAGGCCACTCATGACTTGTACAGCTCTTTGCCCTCTGCTGTCCTGCTCCCCTCCAACCCTCTCTCCCCACTGCTGTGCCTCATCCAGAGAGACAGTGTAGGCAACCTTCTGCTACCTGTTTAGGTGCTTGAAGTCAGCACCCACTCAAGTCTTGTAAAGCATCTTGCCAACTAAGGCTCCCCACCAACCCCATCTGCCCCTGGCACAATAATCAGAGAAATCAAATGAAATTTGCAAGTCCAATGTATATGCTCCCAAGCCAACCAATGTACACCTGTTGCTTGAGGAGAGGCTGATTGCCCCTTGGTCCTGAATGGTCACCTTGCAGGTTGCACGGACCTCCCTCTGGAGGTCTGTGGACTTGTGAGGCAGCTGGGAGGTGACTTGGGCTGACTGACCAAGCATGTTGGCATGGACCTCCCTCTGGAGGTCCTAGCTGGTGAGTGCATAGCACAGGGTTCAATTCACTTCTGCCCATGAGCTGGACACACACAATGCATGAGTGGACTGGGTTATGCATGCTTGCACTGATGGTGATGGTGACGGAGAGGAGGTGGCAGCAAGCAATGCAGATGGGGAAGGTAAGGAGGATGCAGATGAAAACAATGAGGAGGAATATGAGGACGATGATCAAGATGAGGACAGGGTTGAGGATGGGGAGAATTGACTCCTGACATGCCCCCTGCTCCCCTCTGCCCTCTGGACTACATGGTTTTGCTCCTGCATTGGTTTGTTAATATGGAGAATATCAAGACATAGTAGTACTTTGACCTGCTGCTCAAGATACTGCAATGCAACTGTGGCCCTCCCATCCTGCCTCTTATGTTTCTTGTGGTGTACATTCCAAGCATTAAAACATGTGACATCATCCATCATATGACAGGGGTTGTCTGCCCCACAGACCATGTTCTTGTGGGGGAGTCTATATTTCAGGTTGTGGATAATGCCACAAATGGAGATCCAAAATGGTCTCATGCCACCCTTGACAAAGCTAGGGAGCAGCTCAACCAGGGGAAGCAACCCAGGTGGCCCTTATCTCTACTCCAGGTGACAGGGTCTGAATGGAATTGCAGTATTTTGTTGACATCACCTGGCATGCAACAATGGCTGCCTGGGGAACTGAATAGATTGTGTCCCCTGTGACAGGTCCTAAAGCTGTCTATTGCTGCTGGGGTGCAAGCTGTTTTGCTTGGCAGGGCGGGGGAATGTCACTTCTGAGTGCAGAGAAGCACATCTGAAAGTGAATTTAGTGGGGAATGTGAGTTGTGTGCTCATGCACCAAGGGTCCAGTTACGTCACACAGCTGCTGAGCCTCTTTGTGCAACAGCCTCACATGCCTCCATATAGGATGCAGACATGGAAGCAAATGCTGCAATGTTGCATGGAACACCAGGTCCAGCACCTGCCCTTGCCTGCAGACTTGCAAAATTTGGGTCTCGACAATTGCCCAAAAACCAGGGCAAGACAGGACTCTAGTCTACTTTGCGTATACCCAAGGGTGGGACTGGTCATGTCTGATATTTACAAAATTGAATGAAGGTAACTTTTGCTGCCTCTGCAATGACAATCTCATTATTTGAACAGAGATCCATTTCATGTTGGAGTTGAAAGAAGGGCAAATTGTGCACAAAGTTCAGTCTTGTCTCAGGCAGAGTGACTTGGGTTATTCACTGCCCTTTGTAGCTGTATGGTGTTGAGTGGAGTCATAACACTTTTAGGTATGTCTCTCTGCTTGTTGTGAAGCTTCTGCTGGCTTATTGTTTCTTCAGTGTTGAATGCAGTTGGTTTGCATACAAGGAAGGGACTGAGTGTTAGGGCAACACAGGCTGACTAAGTCTGCTCACCTAAGAGTGCCAAGAGTCTAAGCAGGCAACAAGGAAGTGGAGTAGACCTGATGACTAAGACCTATCTACAGTATAGGTACCTGTGGATGATCCTAAGAGACCAAGTCTGAAGAGACAGTCCCAGGCAGAGTAGGCCTTATATTTATACCTCTGTGGTGGAAC